GTTGTTGTTGTTGTTGTTGTTGTTGTTGTTGTTGTTGTTGTTGTTGTTGTGTGTTGTTGTTGTTGTTGTTGTTGTTGTGTGTGTGTGTGTGTGTGTGTGTGTGTGTGTGTGTGTGTGTGTGTGTGTGTGTGTGTGTGTGTGTGTGTGTGCGTGCGCACTCGTGCGTGCATTCGTACGTGTATATAGAGACTGGAAACTACATGCGCGTGTTCTGTAACATGTAACTGGCGCACCCGCTAATGGATGTATTCTCGCGGATTGTTCTATTTTATCTTCTTCGTTTAAAAACACAAAACCTAGGAGTTATGACGATTTAGGTTAGTATTGGTAGGTGAATTAGTACTGGATTTAGATGCGTGTACCGATGTAAAATGGTACGGTATTGGGACGGCGATGTAGATTTGTTAGTGAATATGGATTGCTGCGGTGTGTAAATCAGCACTAGATGTAGCTTGACACCTGATTGTACGTAGTATCAGGAGTGAATAATAATAGATTGTTATTCATCTATTATTCATTATTAATCTGTTTATTATTCACTCCTGATAGTATGATGTGGGGCAGGATTAATGCGGATTTGTGGATTGGTACGGGACGCGGAGATTGTGATTGGCGCTGGCTATGTGATGTGCGTGCATGGTCAGCATGCAGTCATGACAGCTGTCCTAGGACGGCAGTCGAGCTGCGCAATAGAGTGATTAGCCACCATCCTGTCTCCCAGACCCTGCTGTCCACAAAGCGTCACCCGCGCGAGGCGGCGCCCTGGACGTGTTAGTGCGGATGCATCGGGTACTTCCGCCATGACGGAAGCCGCCATTAAAGTTCAGTAATAACGGGCCGTAATTGCATTAATGGCGGGCAGACCCGTCATCCGCGGGGGCGGGCGATGAACAAGAGGGCTCCGCGACCATATGGTGCCGTAATGGCCATCTATTTGCACAGTGCGGCCTCTCAACTCTCACCAGTGTTACTCACCGTCTGTATGTAATATAACCCAATAGGCAACACATAATAAACATTAATTATTATTAATTATTGAACATTAACATGAACACGGTATTTATCATGTATTTTTGACCTGACCTAATACTGCCTGCAAGTGAGGCACATTCGCGACATTACGCGCCATTTCATTTGGCGATCGCGGTCGGTTTTTTTCCCGAGATGCCATCTCGCATTCGCGAAGGCAAAGGCGAAACGCTACGCTTGTCGCAGACCAACCTAAAACCCGTCCGAGCGCATTAGCGTTTAGTACACCTATAATTTCAACAGCGACGTGAACCACAGTTGGTGTATGATATTCGCTGATCGTCGCCGGTAGCTGTATTTACAGTAGGCCATTACTGATACGCACACGCGTGAGTGAGCCCGGAGACACGGTGTTGTTTCTCTCTCTCTCTCTCTCTTTTCTTCTAGTTCTTCGTGTAAGTTATCGTAATCTGGTAAGTATGTAAGGTTTGTCCTTGTGTACGGTACGTCGTACGTACGTAACTACTACGTTA